AGGTACCTGCCGTCTCCAGCCATTATTATTCTCTCCAAAGATTAATTATACGGCTAAATGATACAGTCAATAAAGACTGTACTCAGTACTTGGAGTATCTGCGAGACTTTCCAAACGTGGTCCTGGTCCTTACAGTGAAACAGAGATAGTACAAGTGGAACATAGAATAGCTCAGATATTTTGCAAAGTAAACTGCGGATAAATGCTCACGCTAGAATAGATTCATTAACTTAAAAAACGAAGACGATTCTTGTCCACTGCTCTGAACTAACACTTGATAATGTATCAGTCATTCTTATTAACTGTTATAGTTGTGGTTTATAGTGTTGTGACATGTCGCTTTCACATGCGTATGTTAAAAAGAAACGTTCAATTAATACCAGTATTTCGACTCATGTCTTCATCGGGTTAAAATGAGATACAATACACTGCTCTAAAAATTCGGATAATCTTACATATATTACGAACCGTGGCGTCTGTCCGAGCGTTCGTCTGTCTCCCGTTTAAAAAACTGAGCACGAAGACAAAGCTCAACATTCACTTTTAAAATGATGGTAGAATAGAGATGAATAATGTTGATGTCAAATTTTATTTCACAAGCAGTATAGTCTACACTAAATTGTTAGCAATTAATCACACTATCATTCACATTTCCAAATGTGACATAAATTAAAGAATATAAAAATGTAGATTTACTGTATGTTATTGTTGAGTGGCTCTTAGCATGACTGAAATGCTCAACTATTACTTTTCGAGGTGGGCGGTATAAGTAGATCAGGGCTTTGGCTCTGAGTGAAACCAAGAGTACAACACAATTAACCTTTTTAAAGTCCATGAAATAATTTAAATTGATAGATTAACTTAAACAATTTCCATCACTGGGGACGGGTACTTTTGCTTGTAACTACATAAAATTATGGAGTCAAATACTATATCAACAGTACATTAGTATCCTTTGTGTCCTGGCGACAAAATTACATTTCCTCCAAAGATGAAGTATTTTTCTTTTTGAACAAATATGTCGAATAACATACTTCTGGTACGCGTAAGGAAAATGAATACATTGTATTCTTGAACATTCGTCTTTAAATCTCTTCTTACTTATGTTCGGCATCTGGATTGATTTATTCGGAATAAATTACTTCTTAATAGTCGAAACGGCGGAAGGTATTTATATTTTGTTTTAATGTCAAAGCTATCTGCTACCGTTTTTAATTTTAAACTAATAACTAGAGGTGAAGGCAACCAATCAGACGCACCCACCATCCACGCTAAGAAATAGCTGTAACTCTTATAACGCACCCATAGTTTAAAGCGCGGAGAATATTTTGTGGTTTGTTTTTGTAGTTAAGCACAAAGCTACACAATGAGCTATCTGCGCTCTGCTCATCACGGGTATCAAACCTGGTTTTTAGCGTTATAAGTCCGCAGACATACCACTGTGCCACTGGGGGGCTTATTTTGTGGTATCGAACGGCTTGTACACGGCTCACCAAATCCAAAATTCAGAGCTCCAGCACAGAACTAACCCATGTACTTCTTAAAAAGAAATCTGCTCTTTTCTGAAGTTATTCAGATTTCCTTTTTAGTTTTACAGAATATCAGGCGAATGGAGTGTGAATCCGATGGTTTGTGGCTCCTTACCCGTTGCAGCAAAAACACACTCCGCAGTTTGGAGCCGTTGATGCATTATAAAAGTGACAGCAAAGTCCCACAATTTAATGAGCCAATTGTAGCCCTATTGTTGGCGGTTGGTGCTTCACTTTAATCTATTAGTGCAAAACGTAAAACGATTAACACGAAATTTGAAGCAAACGTGATCTTCTATTTTCTAATATATTTCAACATTAAATCCTGGTTTTAAAAACTAAACTTTACGTTTTGAACGTTTGACGATATCGTAAATTTACTGTTGTTTTGTTTTCTTATGTTGTTGTTTGTTTGTTGTTAAGGCCAAAGCTATAATGGGCTTTGTGTGCCGTGCCAAAAACGGGCATTACGTTATAAGCTCTTAGATTTACTGCTAAGCCACTGGGAAGGGGGAAGTTTACTGGTTATCTCTAGCATTAAATATTTACTCGGTTTCATGGTTATTTCGAATAGAAAGTATTAAAATTGACAGAAAACAGACGAATAGTTATTTGAATGAGAAGTACGTGAAGAAGTGTTAAATCCCTGATCTAAAGAATAGTTGTAGTTTCAAAAAACAAGTATAAAATCATTACTAATCTCAGGCTTATAACTACAGTATTTCCCTCAGATTAGTCAGTTAAGATCCGCCAACTGGTGTGTGAATTTGATGACTAGGAACCAACTTTTATGAAATAAAGTTTGGAGACGGCTTGAATGGGCAATGAAAGAAACTTTACTAGCAAATCTACAAGGTTTCGACAGGCTTTTGTCATCATCAGATGTTAATAAAGTTTCATTCTGAATTAATCTAAGTTTAAAATGGACAGCAACTGCCTGTTGTAGAAACCTACAACTGTAGAGGAAAGATTTACGATAATGTGTACTGTTTATAAGAAGACATAAGATATAAGCATACTGTGTACTAT